AAAAATGACCCAACCGGCCCAAATGACCCAACCGGCCCAAATGACCCAAGCGGCCCAAATGACCCAACTGGCCTAAATGACCCAACCGGCCCAAATGACCCAACCGGCCCAAATGACCCAATTGGCCCAAATGACCCAACTGGCCTAAATGACCCAAATGACCCCGCTGGCCCAAATGACCCGACTGGCCCAATTAACCCTTCAAGCATTTATTATTCATGAAACTAACTAGCTGTCACGCTATCATTCCGCGATCGGCCGATGTCACGCAATTTTCGATAACCAGCACGCCAAGACATATTTTGGTTAACGGGCACACCAGGACACATTTTCGTTAACCGGTACACCAGGACTCAACCGATCGGCCGCTCCGATCAGATTTTTTCCGCCATTTTAATTGCATCATCTCATGTCCTTTGCTACCACCGCTGACCAAAAAAATTATGGTCATCCATCTACGGAGGTAGGTGTGTGATCTTTTCGCATTTTGTATGCAGTCTCGACATTCCTGAAGTCATCGATAAACAATCATGACTTGTCTTGTCAAGAACATTATAATACAGATTTTTGCCGAAGCTATATTTGTTGCATACAGCATGCTTAAAACCACGATATTTGCATCACACGGAGTCACTTTGCAACAAGCTTCATATGTGATGAAGCAATTATAGCCGTTGTTTTTCAACAGTCTTCTATTCTACCATAGCGTTGATGAGCGTTGATTTCACCATAGAGCTCCGTGTATGGATGACCACAATTTTTTCGATTAGCAGTGGTAGCCAAGGACATAAGATGATGCATTCAAAATGGCAGAAAAAATCTGATCGGAGCGGCCGATCGGAGAAAACACCGGAAGTTTTGTAGCCTTGTGCTGAGGTCCCTACTCTAACTTATTAACAAAGTGGCACCCACGATAGCACATGGGAGAATTAGCATTTCTATTAGCACTTTTTGAAGATTCAGGCAAATGTATGTAGCATGAAATGCCACTTTGATGACGACCTCCTAAGTCGCACCAGGTATTTATTGTTTTCATCCTTTCTTAATCTAATTAGGGGGTCCAGGAGGGGGTCTAAAAGGGGGTCCAGAAGGGGGTCCAGAAAGGGGGGTCCACGTTTTGTACTGTCCCTTCAAGGAATTCAAACCATACAAAATGTCAAATGTTATTCAAGTCATTACATTTTTTTCTCAACAAGTACCGGAAGAATACAGAAATTTCAACTTTTACTCTAAAGAATGTACTACAAATGATTTTAAACCACATAGAAGTACAGATAAATTCCAGAAATAAATAATTTATTCTTATCTACAAGTATGAAGCTATGGTTGTTTACCATAAGAACATAAACTAACCATCAAGATTAAAGCAAAATTTGTAGAGGCACTTTTTTTCCATTATCAAAGGGAGGCTTTTGTAAAATGCTTGATACAAATGATGACACTTTAAGAGTGACTTACAGTTCTTCCAGGAGAGAATTCTTGGATATGTCTGGAAAGTCAGTTAGTTCATTCTGTGCCAAATTTCTGAAGAGTAATTAAATAGTCAAGTAATTGTAAGTGTGCTAATGAAGATTCTGGTTAAAGGAATTCTATTTTGTCCACAATGGGAATCTGGGGGTTTCCTACACTCATCTGAATCTTTCAAGCTTAAGTCAGTCAGCGAGTCAATTTTCTCGGTCGGTTTGTTTTTGATATAATTGGTTTTTTTTTCCTTTTAGGGGGGAAGGTGGGAGAGGGGGTCAAGGAAGAAGTGCATATGTTCATTCTAACTGTTGTCTTTCTAACTATGCCTGCATCAGGTAGTGAAAAATGTCGTTAGCAAAAGATAGCTAGCAAATCAAATTGCTCCAATCACTAACTGAAGATAACTGAATGTGAACATACTGGTCGCTGTTTTGTCACAGATTGGTCTCTAGACTATTCCAGTGTTCAACTACGCCATTACCAGTGATTCTGACAAATATGGTTTAAGTTTCAGTTTTAATTAACAACAAGCTTAGTAAATGCTTATTAGATATCATTCCAGGAACATGAAACAATAAGAATTGCTATTTATAGATGAAGATTGTAATAACAGTGTGGGGTTCTTGCTAAAGTTTCTATTTTGGCCTGCAGCATCCTGAGAATTGTACTGCTTAATGATAATAATTCATGCTTCTTGATTCCCTTAACGAACAAAAACCATTTATGAAAAGCCTACATATGTATAGTCAAGTTGAGAAGAGTCCATGTAAACTAGCTGTGGCATACTTACAGCTTTTTTAGGCCTGTCAGATTGTGGAAAGCTGTGGCATTTACATACTTCAAGCCAGACTCAAAAATTGTACTGCAAACAATAAAAAGACAATTATACTGTTTCTGAAGACAGATTAAATTTTCCCTTTTGTGTTGTCTTCTTTACACAAATGGGCAATGATTTTAAGTTATGTATAAATTCTTTTTAGGGTATTATTGATGCACGTAATTCAATTATAAAGGAAACGAAGTATTTAAACTTGAGTTTTCCCACAAAATTAGGGTCAATTCACAATATACAGAGACTTCTCTCTTAATTTTGCCACCTTTTTGCAAGAAGTTGACTTATTTGCTGCAACAAATTTTTCCTCAATTTAGAGTCACATATCTCACTCAAATTGATACACTGTACTTACATTTCTGTAGTGCCAACAACTAGGTTTTCAGGATTTAATTTTTGTACTCCATAGTACCTGATGTTTCTGATGACAAAAAGGGACAAAAAAAATTATATCATCACAAACTCAGATCATATCAATCAAGGTCTTAGAATCTATTGATCATTGAGTGAAAATTATCTATGGGCATTATCAATCTTGCATTGGGGAATTGAACTGAATATAGTAATATTTGGTCTGAAATCATACACATAATTTCAAAATTGAACAAGTGTGCAGCTCAATATGATAACACTGTAAGCTGTTAAAAACCAGCAGATTACTATCAACATAAGCACTTTGTGAGTTTTCCAAAAACCAAAGAGATACATATCTCAAATATAAACATAACCATCATTGTAGAAAACATGCCATGTGCAGACAGAGAGTTCACTTGGTTTCAAAGCCAAGACATCAAGCCTTTGGCATGCTAAGTATAATACTAGCAAAAGTGGGAGATAACTTCAAACTAGTGGTTTAACTTCAAACTCCTAGTATACTAGAAAGAGATTGCTGATACTCTAGTAGGACCAGATGACCACTAGAGATGCTGATTACCACATATATCTAACTTCAAATTCTCCATAGGAAATTTGGCTGTATAAAGTTTCTTTTCCAAACTTTCCAAGCTTTCTAGAGTTGGATACCCCCTGACTTTTGAGGTCAGGCATTGTGAATGGGCAGAAAGTTAGCAGATAAGCTAGCCCTTCTAGTGACATTCTTTCCACCAAATGGTCTCTCTGAAGCATACAGACCTTTGACTAACATGGGCAAAATACATTATATGACATCTGGTAAAAACAGAACCCAGTCCCAAACCCACGTGGGTGCATTCACATCAGGGTTTAACAAGAGCACAAATTGCAAGGCATTCTCAATCAATTTATCCAATGATAGTTTATTAATTTCGGAGTCGAAAGTAAATTGATGGTTTTTTGCTACTTGACTGAATTAGACACACAGTATCTTGATGCCCTGATGTCCTAACAGTTAACACCTCGAGTGAGACAACTTTCACCAACCTGCTAATTGATGATCGTCTAGTTACCTTCTATAAATTGACCAAAATAAAATACTTTCAAGTATTAACCAAGTATGTCAAATATATCTATCAGTTGCATTAGATATCATTTAAGGCTACCCATATGATGCATACATCCACAAAGTCCAGTCTTTGTTGCTGCTATGTGTAATCAGGCATTCCATTGATTTAAGGTCACCATGACAACCAAGGTTGTCACCATACCCCATCAAGCTCAGGTAAAATTTTAAGCATGAACAAGGACACATCAGGCTGCAACTGCCAGAAAGCAATTGTAACTCACAGGTACTGCATTTTCCCCCCCCCCCCTCACCTTAAAGGACAGTAGCAAAGACACCCATACATACTATATATAGCTACTTGCCATATATTTCCCAAGAAGCCTGTTATGACTAAAACTCAAAGCTCCTATGGACTGACTGTGAAGCAAGAGTTATTTTTTTGGGAAATTGGTTAATATTTCTCAATCCTGGGTACATAGTCTAATTCGGATTGTTCCTGGACCACATTCCCACAAAAAACTTATGAGAGCATTCAATGTTTGCATGGAAATACCAAGCAATCCAAAAATTGCGATGGTTTTTAACTGTTTGACCCTAAAGAAAGACTAGTAAGCAATTCATCCTCAGATTATCACCCTCAATCACTCATTAAAGTCATTAGAATATAATAAGGAACGTAATGATCATCAACTAAAGAAGCGTTTTATTAGCAAACAAATTCTCCCCTTCAGCACCTTAGGAAATGTATGTAAACAGTATAGAGAAAATGCATTCCGATTTTACGGTACAAAGAGGTAACTGGACGAATTTTCCGGGCTTATACATTCCTTAAAATGGATAGGTCAGAGAAGTTAGCGATTTGCGATTTGCACAAGCACGGAAGATTATCGTCCTCTAAAAACCAACGTAAGTTTTGAAATCGCGTAACATCTTTTTAATCAATTTGAAAAAGCCTCTCAATCGTACAGATTCAGATAAACGGATCGATCATCAGAATTTGTAATATGTTTTTTTTTCCCCAGATAACTATTGAAGACCACCCGCCACTTAATTCTAATACTAAAAACAATGAATGACCCTTTCTACATAGTCTCCCTCGCAGCCGGGATTTTAAAATAAAGTAAATCTGAAGCATTTAACCAAAGTAAGTTTTGGAATCGCGTGACATTTTTTTAACAAACATCTAATACTCTTAACAAGTTTGAAAAAACTTTCCAGGATTTATTACAGTAACTGTAGATACTTGGTCCTTCAAAGAATCAACATGCTTGACTGTCGGACATCTTACTAATTCACATCAACGGATCGATCATCAGAATTTGTCAAACTTTTTTTTTTCCGCCCCAGATATTTATTGAAGACCACTCGCCACTTCTAATACTAAAAATGAATGAATGACCCTTTCTACAGGGGTTATAAAATAGATCGATTCAGGAAAATTTCAAAAGTGCATCTCGTCGAAATAGTACGAATAAATAGAACTTTTTTGTCTCTTACTTGTTCGTTGCTCTTTTCAATCTGATCGAATTTACATAATTATATAGCTCTGACGAGAGCGTCGTTTGAAGAAACAATAAAAGGAGCACAAACTAAATAATGCAGGTATTAAGCACAAAAAGATAAACAACAAGAATGAGCAATATCAAGCTTAAAACAAGAAACTTACACGGTCGAACCAGTGCAAGTGGCTTCTTGGTTGCTGCAGGTACAACCTACACAAGAGCTCCCTCCCGTGTCACGATTGTACATATTCCTTCCGCCAAAGTTACTATTCCAGAAACCATCCCAATCCGTATAGTCCAAGGAATAACGACTGTTCCAGTAGTTAAATCCTAGAAAGGTTTGACCGCCGGGGTTCGGTAAAGTTTGAGCTTGTTTCGCAAGTGACAAAAGCAAACAGCAAACCAACCCAGCTCGCCATTTTTCTGCGCGATGATAGCGAGCCATTTACGGACGATTCGAGAGATATCAGCTGCGATCTTAATGACTTGATGGATTGCAATAAGATCCAAATTAGAATTATTTTAGAGGCAAAATTCTTTCGTTGCTACAGTCAACTGGAATACGTCGTCAGGTCGAAGACATTTCAATCGAAGGCACTCGAACTTTTTCGTCTAATTTTTCGCCAGTAATAAAGCCAGGTCATTCCATGCTTTCAGACTACAATATTTGTCGTTTCAGACTTCCAAAAAGAGAAATCGGACGTTTCTACAAGAAGTGTGTCGCTCGAAGTTATTCTACAAATTATCCGTTTACATTTATAAATATTCAACAAAAATATGCTAATTTCACAGAAATACATCTCAAGTACGACTCTTCTTATTATGAACTTTTTGTATCAACTGTGATCTTAATGACTTGATAGATTACAGTGAGACCCAATTTTCAAATCTTTTAGCAGCAGGATTCTCTCGTTGCTAAAATCAACCGGAATACGCCGTCACGTCAAATGACATTTCAATCGAAGGCACTCTCGAATTTTTATTTCTAACTTCCCGCCAATGATAAAACCAGACGGTCATTTCATGGTTTCAGATTACAATATTTGTCCTATCGGGCGTCTAAAAACAGAGATCGGAAGTTTCTACGAGAAGTTTGTCACTCGGAGTTATAATTCTTCAAATTATCTCATTTCTAATTTCACTTACAAATATTCAACAAAAATATGCTAATTTCACACAACTCCTCTTTATATGAAGTAGTCAATACAATATATAACGCAAAGCATGATGGTATATATTGTAATGGCGGTCGGGTAATTTCGGAAAATTGACCTATGTATGTGGAAAATACATCGTAAATTATTCATTTTTCGTCCAATTTCCCTAAATTTCTGATGCTGTCTTGCATGACCTTAACAGGATGTATCCATATTGATGTAGAGTTCAATTTACTCTCTCAATGCAGGACCCATGTAGCATCGAAGACAAGGTAATTTTTCATCTTTTCCTTTCTCTGAGAAGACACGTACAATGAGCGTTCGAGAAAGTAATCCTGGAGGCTCTCTTTTGCAGGAGCTGCAAGACCTACAGTAAACTTTTGGTTCAAGAAGCAAAGGTCTTGAATGAAGTGGCAGGAGTTTCTATAAGGAAGTGCATGTACGAAGCGGAATTTGAATAAGTGCACGGTGCTTTCGAAGAGGTGTGAAAAATTAATCCCTCACTTGTGAGCTTATATGCTCAAATTGTGTTACGAATAGAAGACAAATATCAGGGTGAAGCATGGAGGATGTAACAGAGCATACTGCATCTAATCCTGATGAATTTTTAAACAGTTCCCCCGACTTTGCTCTTGGTGCGGGAGAGTCAGGTAATGATCAGACCGAAACGCAAAGCTCTGCCGGATTTATCGATACCCCAGGCGAAACGCTCGACAAAGGAGTTGCTTCTCAAGTGAGCAACGTAGCGACAGACGACGAAGGTGCAAGTTCAGTTGAACAAAATTCCTTGCCTCTCGATGAAGGAAGTGATCGTTTAAAATCAACCGACCAGAGCGAAACATCGACTCAAGGTGGCAAAATGGGCAGTCAAGGCGAGGAACAACATGTAGACAACGCGCTGCCAAGTCCTGCTGAGGTTGAACATGGTTCACCCAGTGAAGAAGATACGACACAGGGGAACTTGCAGGTGTCAGAAACTGAAAACAGCACTCCTGAAGTCTCTACAAAAACCGAAGACTCAAAAAGCCCCGATTTATCAACGAAAAACGATTTAAATGCAGTTCATCTGGACATCAGTGAAACAACAAATGACTCAAGTTTAGAACTCCATCCTGAAGCCTTTGAAGGCCAGAGCTCTGAGCCTCAAACTGGCGATAAAATACAGACTCGAGAGCAACAGGCATTGGAGTCGATATATCATATCAAGTGGATAAAATGGAAAGGTATTAATACACCCATTATCACACAGAATGAAAATGGCCCCTGTCCCCTTCTAGCAATTGTTAACGTGCTTCTTCTCCAGGGGAGGATCACTCTTCCACCACAGCAAGAGTTTGTGACATCAGGACAGCTGATGGAGTATATTGGAGACTGCATCTTGGAAGAAGCACCCAAGGTTTGGAAATCAATCTGCATTTATTACCAACTATAGCATATTTTGTAGTGCTGGTATATTGACAAACCAAATTTTTTTGTAAATCAGAGCTTTACGCAGCCACAAATTATTTTGTAGATTTAGGGTGCTGACCTTGAATGGTAGAATTCCATTTAATTTAGTAATCTGTAGTAGCTGCATTCTCTGCACTAGGAGTGAACTCAGGTTTCAACCATTGAATTCACCCTTTGAAAAGTGTCCACTTGATACACTGCTGTTTAAAATGCAAAAAACCTGTTCATGCTTTCACTCCCAAGATGTCAGTAGTAATCCTTCTTACTGTCTGCTGCATAATTATTTTGATGTTTGATTGGAAAATGATAATTCACCTTTTTTCTTTTTCTCATTGTTAATCTCTGTGTTATATTGATGTCTTAGGGAGATTTTCTGTTTTGGTCGCTCATAGCAAGCCTCACAGATACCCGGCACATGGGTATAGTACTGTGGTTAGGGACAGTGGGCATCCATGTTGGGGACAAGTGGTTGGGAAAGGTTGAAAAATTGGAAAGTTTCCGAGTAAAGAGCTTTTTTTTTCTCATGCAAAATGTTCCTGTAGATAATGAAACAAACCATTTTATGGTAAAAAGAAAATTTTCATGCAGTGGTTTCTTTATATTCCTTAATCTTAAATATGACTTTGAATCCTCAACAGCGCTTATCTGAAGGGGCCCAGCTAAACTATGAGCAAAACATGCACGATGCTATAGCAATCATGAATAAATTACAAACAGGACTTGATGTAAATGTAAAGTTCACAGGGTAAGTGTCTGATCAGCAATAATTTGAGTCTTTCACTCTCAAGATCTGAAAGCTTAAGGTGGCCACAACGAGAGGCACAACTATAACTGATGTTAAAAACTGTAGTTCACAAAAATTACAAGCGTTGGAAGATGCTGTGTTGTCTATATCAATAACTGGAAAAAAAAAAACAAATGGATAAACATATGTGGCCAACTATGTAGGAGGCAGTCACCACAAAAATGTCCTTTGGAAGTACTGCAACAAAACAAGTCTTTACTTACTAGTACCAGTTGTTGGCAGAATTCAAATAACCCATGCCTAAAGAGTGAAATTACTCTCAGAGATGGTGTAACATTGCATCAGTCTATTTGTTTTTTGTTTTTTTTTTTAATTTTATACTTTGTTTTGGGTATCATCATTTTATAGTTTCAAATGAGTCACTCTGTTAATAAGACTTTGCCTGTTTGTTTCTAGTATTGATTTTGAACAATTTGTTCTTTTCCTTATTTGTCTCTATTTATTTACTTTTGGTTATGGCGACTAAATGGTAGTGATTCTTTCATTAATGGCAAATTAATGGTTAACAATGAAAAGTAACAAATATGACATTGAATTGTAGGGTTACAGACTTTGAGTTCACTCCAGAGTGTATAGTTTTTGATCTTCTTTCCATTGGACTCTACCATGGATGGCTCATCGACCCACAGAATACTGAGATTGCTTCTACAGTTGGTGGACTCAGTTACAATCAGCTGGTTGAAAAAATAATTGCCAGTAAACAGGATGGTGCAGAAAGCCAGCTGGTCTCTGAGGGTAAGTAAATCAGTCATTGACTCAGATCAGGAAGAACTCACAAGTGATACAGAAAGGATTATTTAACTGGGGGTCCAGGAGCTACATAAGTATCTCCTTAGAATTTGCAGTGAGGGGACTGTCATCATGGTTACTTCTTACTGATCCATTTGAAATTCGTCCAACTGTTTTCCATAAAGTTCTTACTAGATGTTACTTTTGATAATTTGATATTGAATCAACCACATGTAGTGACCCCCTAATTGATTATTTTCTTCATACTTATCACTTGTCTGCATGATATTGTATTGATATTGTAAGGAAAAACTCTGTCTCCATCACTCATGGGGTTAAAGGTAATGAACAGTGAATTTCATCAAAATTATTTGTCCCTGATTTTTGTCTTTGTTGGTCTTAAGCATTGATTGCCAAAACAGCATTTTAGTTGGTATTATTGTTCAACTCCTCTGCTGTTTATTAGAGGTAGTGAAAAAAACATGCTGTGATGAGTTTTGTGTTACATTGCTTTTCTTTATACTAGGGAGATGTGGGGTGGGGGGAGGGGAGGGTAGGCTTACAAGCCTCACAGTACTCCCACTTCACTCATTAAGTGACATGTATGTCCTTGATATACGGTGGAGGTAAGGTGGCCTCATGGTTAGTGCACTGGACTCCAGATCAAGTGGTTTGGGTTCGAACCCTGGCTGGGGACATTGTCGGTGTCGTGTTCTTGGACAAGACAATGTACTCTCACAGTGCCTCTCTTCACCCAGGGGAATAAATGGGTATTGGCAAATTTAATGCTGGGGGTAACCCTGTGATGGATCAGCATTCCATCCAGGGGGGAGTAGAAATACTCCTAATCAATTTAAGTGCCGGCCCGATGGGCCACCTGACTCATAAGCAAGCTTTTCCTTTTACCTACTATGTCCTTGATATACATGTAGCAGTGTCCATCAGGTATCGTAATCCACATCAGAAATGGCTAATTTGTTAGACGCTTCTGTCATTCATTTTTGGTTTGTTTGTTTGTTTGTTTTTTTTTGTATTTGTTCATTTAGGTTTTATAAGTGAATCTTTCCTTGAGCACACAGCCAGTCAGCTGACATACCATGGTCTGTGCGAACTGAATACTACACTGCAGGACGACCAACTCTGTGTGTTTTTCAGAAATAACCACTTTAGTACATTTCACAAGCACAATGTAAGAGATTCTTACTGTCGGAATCCTTTGTTTTAAATCAGTTTTGTATTGTCTTGTGTTTCACTTTTTTTATAAATTCTTTGTGTCCAACTTGTACTCTGAAGTGAACCTTTTGCATCTTGAAATTAGTATGCTTATCAGGGCTGGTAACTAACTTTTCAACTTACATGTACTAGCCAAGTGGCTGGTGACAACTCAGAGGTTGCAACAATTTCAGTTTGTTTACTAGCCAAACTGGTTAGGGGAAGTTTGAAAACCACTAGCCAATCTGAATTTCTACTAGTCTTTGGCAACATGGCTACCGTTAGTGTTGGGCCATATGGTACTGTAAGTCAATGATATTAGCCTTTCTGATGCCGAAACCTGAGTTTTAATCCTCCTTACCCATGTAGTGGGCTTGAATGCTTCGAAGTAAGGTGGAAACCGTGCAAATGAATATGTTGGATGTCTGATTAGTGGTGGAGCAACAGAGGGCTCTGGAGTAGATTGATGCCAAAATGCCTTTAAGTTAACAGTTATCACTCCAAATACAAAACACTATTTGCTTTTAATTGAAATAGCTTCTAACTCTGTTTTACTTATTTCTCCAGGATGAGCTCTTCTTACTTGTGACAGATCAAGGTTTTCTCACTGAAGATAGTGTTATCTGGGAGTCATTAACAAATGTGGAGGGTGATTGTGTCTTTGTGGATGCCGAATTTAAATCTTTCCCATTGGAACACAGAAGTACACCGCAACCAGCAGCCATACCACCCACTCAACCGCTGACACAGGAAGACCAAGAGTAAGGAGATCTTCAGTAATTACACCCTTTATACCTCAACATCAGAATGCATATTCTCCATACTGTTCTCTATACATTTCCAATGGTATTGACAAAGAGAACTTGTGTAAGAATCAAGAGCTTCTCTAGTGGGTGATCATTACCTTTATTCTTGGAACTTTAGTGTATGATTCAGTAATGATGATATGTAGAGAAATTGTAGGTTAATTTCTAGGGAAGCAGGGATGGCGTAGTCATGAGAGCAGTCACCTCCCACCGATGTGGCCCGGGTTCAATTCCTGGACCCAACACCATAAGTGGGTTGAGTTTGTGTTGGTTATTATTATTATTATTATATTATTCTTATTATTATTATCATCATCATCATCATCATCATCATCATCATCATCATCATCATCTTAGGGGTTAATTGGTAAATCCTTCAGCTCCTGTCAGTGACCAAGATAGAATTTCTCTTTACAATATCCATACACAATCAACCAGATAAGTGATGAGAATGAAGAAAAATATGAATTAGGGAGTTGATCCAACACTAAGTGCTTCAAACTAATATCATAAGAGCTGTGTGCTAGACTGTTAGAAGAATCCAAAGTTGAGATTTTGGGAGTGATAGGGTTAAGAAAAGCTGGTAAGCTCTGCATTCCTGCTTTCTTGGACCATACTTAATACCAAAGCCACTTTTTTTTTTTTTTCACAAGACAAACCTTACATTGTGTTTCACAGCACCCTTTCCCACTCTAAGAGTATCAATGGGCCTTGTTGACTGTTTGGTAGCCTTGACAGAACCTTGAGAGGTCACGTGTGATGGAGTAACATTCATTCCAAAAGACAACTCCAAATTGATCACTGGATGGATTTAGGAAATCAAGTTTCTGGCTTTGGCAGTTATGAGCACTTGACTTGTAAACCCTAACTTTAAATCCTTTAACCAAGATCTGATGGTTAATTCTCCCCGACACTAGCTGCCACGTATTTCACTGTAAGTTTTATATGAGAATTTTGTGTTAGATTAAGATAACAAGGTAAGTTAGAGTATTCTCATTTCCTTTTTGGTGGATAATGTATTGGATATTATAGAGAGAAGCCACATGCCAATCACTTCTGGGAGTTAGAGGCTTAAACTTGTCTTCAATTCATAATAATAATAATAAGTAATAATAATGATGATAATGGTAATAGTAATAATAATCTTTATTGAGATGACTTTTTCATATAAAATAGGGTTTTCAAAAATTCTATGTTTTATTGTGCCTTGCAGTTACTTAATAGCATTAAGTCTTCAAGAAGAACAGGAAAATGCTGCCCAAAGGCCTCAGACACATCCTGAAGGGGTGGCTCCAGCCCAGATGGATGCCGTTGATGGACCTGCTCATCAAACTACTCAAACTACTCAGTCCAACCAAGAGTGGTCTGAGTAAGTCCTTGGAATTTTGAATTTCTTGTTTGTTGTATGTTGGGGTTTTATTTTTTCCCTTGATCAAAGTATTTCAAACCATTTTGATTTTTCTCTCCTATTTTGAGATTAGGATTAGTTTTTCGGAATACTAAAAAAAAGACTGCAAAGTTCAAACTGATTTAGAAATTTTAAACCTTAAAAAAAAAAAAAATGGAACCACAACATATTCACCTACCATCAAGCGTAAGCCTCTGCAAGAACTTTGCATTGTGGGTATCAATTAAGAGTTCACTGTAGATAACGCACTACAAGTAAATTTGACACAAAGTGAATTAGCAATCGAAAATAAAGATCAGAATGAATGTGGGGTCTCTATTGAAGGTAATTTTGTTTTGTGGTTGTTTTTTTTATTTTTGTTGTTCACAAAGTTTTAAATTTGTGAGAGCTACATATGAAGCTTTTTTTAGGATTCCAAAGCAGTTTTGATTAAGCTATGTAGCAACAAAAATTATGAAACTTGTTTTGGTTATTTTCTATGTCTTAGCCCATTTTTGCCTTTCAGTGTTTCATTATATTATGATATTAGCCATGGTATTGTGAAGGCACAGTTTGCTACAGTCTAGCTTGCTGGACTAACGAATGGTTTAAAGGGGTATTGGGCTTGTCAGTTTGCCCATTTTAAAAATTAACAAAGTTTCTACAATTATTATAGCAAAAACAAACTAAACAAATTTATCCATTACATAGTCTTCAACTGGCTATGCAGCTGCAACAAGAGGAACAAAGGCAACAGCAACAGCAGCAGCAAAGAGCTCAAACCAGACCACAACCATCATGGATGTCTCCTGCAAGATCAGCTCTTCCTTCTCAACCACAGCAAAGAAGCAGCAATGACACTCAACAGAGGCAGGAGTCCAATGTAAGGACATGAGTGCATTTTTCAGAGTTAATCATCATTATTTGATCCTTGTCATTATCATCACATCATTATTACATGTAGTCTCATCATTACCATTGTCATTGCCATTGCCATTAACATTACCACTGCCATTACCATTGTCATTGCCATTGCCATTAACATTACCACTGCCATTAACATTACCACTGCCATTACCATTGTCATTGCTGTAGATTGCCGTAAAAATTCGCACTGCTATTACCATTGTCATTGCTATAGATTGCCGTAAAAATTCCCACTGCTATTACCATTGTCATTGCTATAGATTGCCGTAAAAATTCCCACTGCCATTACCATTGTCATTGCTATAGATTGCCGTAAAAATTCCCACTGCCATTACCATTGTCATTGCTATAGATTGCCGTAAAAATTCCCACTGCCATTACCATTGTCATTGCTATAGATTGCCGTAAAAATTCCCACTGCCATTACCATTGTCATTGCTATAGATTGCCGTAAAAATTCCCACTGCCATTACCATTGTCATTGCTATAGATTGCCGTAAAAATTCCCACTGCCATTACCATTGTCATTGCTATAGATTAACGTAAAAATTCCCACTGCCATTACCATTGTCATTGCTATAGATTGCCGTAAAAATTCCCACTGCCATTACCATTGTCATTGCTATAGATTNATTACCATTGTCATTGCTATAGATTAACGTAAAAATTCCCACTGCCATTACCATTGCCACTGTCATTGTCGTCATTATCATCAATTATAATTATAATTGTTATTTTTTATTATAATTACTATTATTATTATTTTTGTTGAATGATCAAATGTGAAATGTTAAGGAATGATGATAAGGCCATTTTGTGTGCTCTCAACAGAAATCAAAATTTGCAACGTTTGAATTACTACGCTTGTTTTGAACGACTCAGACCTAAGGTATGGAAGGCCTAAGGGTACATGTAGCTCGCAAGCCTTTGGGGAAGAGGGGGGGGGAGTTTCATAGTTTAACTCTTGCCAAGGATCACGCAGAATTTTCTCTGAATTGTCTTTCCCCGCACAGTTATCAAGAGGCATACCCACTCGAATCATTTGGCTGACATCGTCATTCTCATCAATATGCTTGTTCCCCTAATTCACAGTGTCCAACTGTTGGATGTTTTCATTTTTATTTTGCAGGACAGATGTGTCATCTTATAGATAAATATTCAAACTGACTCCAGAGACTGCATCTCAAGACTCCTGATTGATCCGCTCGCTGTAAATTCAGGACATTACGTTCGGAAGGGACATGATCTTGACGGATCTCAACTTTGTAACTAGATGTGTATTTACCATCAAAGTAAACCGGGGAGCTACTGAAAAAAAAAACTTAAAAATTGCATAAGGTATAAATTCGGTGGCCTAAAAATTACGCAAACCAGCCATTCAATGGCAAGCTTTTTTTTTCCTCTTTTTGTCAGAAAAATATTAACATCTAATTGTCGTGTGCTTGTATCTCAGGGAAACGTCCTTGTCTAATAGATATGGAAAAGCTGATTAAATTTTTTTTTTGTCTTGGCGGACTTCTCTTCATAACTCAAGAAAATGCTCTTTTGAACCCCTCAAAACAGTTCATATTTTCCCGGGAGGTCCACTACATGACTGACTTTTTGTCGTTCTTTGCTTTTTCCTTGATTTTTGATCGGTCCAAGTAATTGCTTTGATTACAGTTTTTTATCGAACGTAATCGATGAAAAAGACTAGCAAGGAATTATGTAAGCGAGCGGCAAAAATACAGGGAGTGTAACCGTGGAGGAAGAAGAGCTTGCCCTAAACGGAAACATTAAAAAAAAATCCGCTGTCAATTATGGAAAACTAAAGCCTTGAAATATTTCTCCCAAACAAACCTCGATAAATTGCCCTCGTTCTTGGCCCACAGGAAGTTGATAGAGTTCCCGCGCTTATTGAAAGTCCTTGAATTTAAATTTTTCTTTTCAAGGACTTGAAAACCCTTGAATTTAGACTCAGGTCCTTGAAAATTTCTGAAAAGTTCTTGAAAATAAGTGCAGATGAGTTAAAGTCGAAGTTTTCTTTTGTTTTCGGAGTTGAAAGAGTAAATTTCTAACACAAATAGCGAATACGAGTTTTCCTTTCAAATCCCGCGTCCGATAATGATGTTTGACACATCCTTTTTTATATAGTTTGAACCTGATTGGTGCGTTGAAAATAACCTTGGTTACCAAGCATGTGATCACTCTGGTATGCATGCTTAAAGTCATGCTCGTTGTACTTTCCCTATTAGCTCCTATTCAATACAAAAGGTCCTTGAATTGGGTTCCTGAAAAAGGACAGGAACCCTGTGTTTAACTGTTCGGGTATGTCATGTCTGCGGAAAACGATCCGTTGAAAGCGACAGCGGGAGCATCCTCGAAGACTCAAGTGCAATTAAGTAAGTAGGCAAGTAGTAATTGCGCGTGTCAACTGGCTACACCAAACACCCACCTTTGATAATTTCTCCTCTCTCCTGATAATTTGCCCTGAGTCTCCGTGGAAGTCAAAAAATAGAAAAGAGGGCTGACGGAGATATCAAGGAAGGTCTTCCGGCACATTTCTCTTGACTTGATTTTTTTGGGATTTCTCGTTTGATTTTATTTCATGCAGCTATTCGATTATCGGGATAATTGTTGAACAGGTAATCCAATTTTTAGTATTTCGGGACCAGCCATTATTTATTGCCTGGGAGGGGTGGGAGAATTTTTTTTTTTGGGGGGAGGGGAGGGGGGAGAATCACATGATTTTCAGAGAGAAGAGATGAAAGATTAGTGTCACCAGGGAGTGTCGTAAGAATATTACATATTTTATTTTTATCGTGACAGGACCAAAATCCTCTGACCCTGCCGCCCCCGCCCAACACCCCCACCCTCCCTGCGATGAATAATAACCAGTCCTTTGGTATTGCATAATTATCTTGATGGAACTCGTATTCAATACTTTCAATTCGATTTTCGGAATGCTTCCTCTTACTCAAGAAGCATACGATTTAGATTTTGTGTGTGTGTTTTTTTTTGTTTTTGTTTTTTCTTCTAGTAGATCTCTGCTGAAAACATAAATTCATGAAATCATACGAAGTTTCTGAGATCTTCATCACTCTTCAATTTCGTTTCGTTACAAATTATCTGTTGGAAGGTTTTTTGTTTCATTCTTCTGGCTTCTCTTCGTCGCACTCTAAGTCTTCTTAATTATGGATACAATCTTTATGGCTGGGCAAATTACCTTCAGCAAGTTCGCTAACAACCTCGTCCACTGTAACCAGTTCGGCATCAGCAACAAGAGGATCTTTACAAGAACGTCGAGAGGGTTTTCGTGAGGAGATCACGGAGGAGGTCTTTTGTAGCTTACCGCGAGAAAAATATGGTTTTATAATCTTTCCTACCACGAAACCAGCATGAAGAACTTGAGAAAGCACCGCAAAAAAGACAGCGATTATTAATACCAGCGGTAGCAGCAATAAGAGAATCGTCTGGATCCAATTTAACATGTCGACGTATGTTTTGATAAGGCCCCAGAAACGTACCCCTGCTGAGATGAAGGTGGCATGCACGGTGTTGAACAGACCAAATTATGCCAAAATCAGCATCACCGCTCCTGTGTATTCTCCGCGATTTTGCTCGAAAACACAATTTATAAATTCGATTACATTGGTGTAGTCATATGTAGGAACTCCTTTGACACCTGTGTCGTACTTGTCATGCTTACAGCCTCTGGACGTCATGAAATCGCCTTCATTATCTATAATTATCGCGCCAACTCCGTTCTCGATGTTGCTGTGTTTAAAAGTTGAACCAAGAATCTTAACGTTGTTATGCCCTTTGTGTAGTGAGATGTAAACCGCAGAAGCCGTAAAGCTATCATCACTCAATATTGCGCTTTTTTCAACGGTTATGTTCTTTATTGTAGCTACAGAGGACGAAGAAAGTTCTAGAGTTAGAGCTATTTTACGAGTGTTTCTGTAAAACATGGTATCTTTCACTTTATGAATAACTGGGGCAGTCTTGAAGTAACTGGATCTTCAATGACTGCCCCAGTTATTCATAAAGGCACAGCTGTCCACGGTAACTTGGGTCCGTCGGGAAGGGAGAATTTTTGCCGCCATTGCTTCATTGTCATAGAACTTACAGTTCGTTAAATCAACGACGCCTGATCCATTCACATAGATTGTGGCGTTCTTTCTAAAATCGCTATCCGAGATCGTCAAATTTACTATTGAATGGAATTTCAAAACTCCATCGCTCGCATGACCCATTTGGTTTTCCGCCATACCAGCCTCGGAGACGCTGGTGAAAACGCTTTTCTTGATGACAACAGAGCCCTGATAGAACGAAATCGGCGTCGAGTAAAGTTTCACATCGTAAAAACTCACCTCTATGTATCTTCCGACGAAGAAAATACCATCTGGACATAATATGTGCGCTGGACCATTTTGTCCAATAACAGACAAGCTCATATTAAAATAATTACGAAGACCACGATACTGTGACGTCATGCGCACGCATGTGTATGGACTATGTTCGGTGTTTGTACCATCGAGGTACAACTTGTCGCTCCAGGCCACCATAGGTATCACATCAGCCAACGACTGGCAAGGGGACTGAGGAGAATTGCAATCAGTCGTTTGGGTGCCAGAGGTATGGGAAATGTACCAGTTGTTCGATGCATTACAAAAAGCTATGGAATGATGTACAAATTAAGAGAAAAATAATCAACTTCTTTCCCAGAAACATCATTTTTTATTGGGGCACCGGAGGAAACCTCTTCTTAATTAATTCCGAGACTATTTCAGAAAAAAACAGATTCCCTGACCCTACGGGCTCTCCTTTTTCCACCTCTAAGATCTAACTCCCTTTCATTATTCAATTGCCGAGTACTCCATCTTCTCTTTCAGTTTTTTCGGTCATCCAAGTAGAAGAACAGCGCTGATTTCAATTCGATTTATTCAAAGCTGACGTTTCTAGCTGATTAGCTTAGCCCTTCGTCAGAGCGAAACGAAGGGCTAACGCTCAAAACGTCAGCTTAGAAACCCTTTACGGTGACCAAGTTACATTATCAACACAGTTGATTAAACCTAATTACCTTCTTACACCCACCGACGCAGCACCACAGTTCATGTAGAAACTTACCTCTTTTACTATTTATTCAAAGTCTATTTTGACCTAAAAAGGGACATTACGAGATAAATGCAAACCGGCAAGGACTAGCAAAAGATTGCGTCGTGTCACCTGCTTAGGCTTTAATATACCTCTGGGTCTACCTATCAGAAACAAGACAATCCTCTTCGCAACCACCCCCTTACCACCTTGATGCCATCGGTGAGTTTTTATATTCTCCGCACTGTTGTCTTGACATTTCGCATGGTGCTGATAAGGAGAATTTGATTGACAACCAGGAGCTTTTAAAGTTGATGATCATTTCCCTTATTGTCGTGACCTTTACATTTCATTCAAGGGAGGCATGGAGACTGAATTTAGAGTTAGCTATCTATTTGGGTTAAAAGGGCTAAAAACCATCATATCATGATCCTCAGTCCTTAGATTGCGTTGTGTTGAAGAGACGAAGAGTTCTTAGGAAACGGAAAAATTAACAATACAACCCGGGTATAAATTAATATTATCGAAAAATTGATAAAAAAAAGTGTGCATTGTGCATTCCTGAGGAGAAGTGGAAGGGAGAAGGTTGTCCGTGGAATCCGAGAGCCTACGGCTGAAGCCCGCGACAGGTCAGTGAAAGCGTACGTTTGACGACGACGTGACATGTTATGCTTAAAAAAAGTTTTAAATAACTTAGACTAGAAATATCATTACCATTCTAGCGATTCTAAACATTTTTCCGACCATTTCGTACATTGATCTGCTGGAGTCATTTCCGCTCGCCAGCCGTTGATAAAATTATTTTACAGGTCTTCCGGAGGTCTTTACCCATCCGTGTGAGTGATAAAAATGCAACCGCAATTCCCAGCTTTTCAGAGCACGTCTCAGCGTGTCTTTTCTCAAACATACAATGGATATATAAACGTAGAAATAAGTCAATACAAGTGGAAAAAACCTACTCGGAACCTTTGAATTACGATTCAGTTCTCCGACTAGAGTTCTGTAAGTTGGTAAAAGGTTTGTGTTATATTTAGCCGCGAGCTACTACCTCAGCTATCGGGTGTCGTCGAGTCAATTTAGTCGCACTTTTTTCCTCTTTACCTGATCTTCTCAACTTGTAAATTCAACATTGCAACATCAACAGTGGCTTCTAATCTAACATTTTAACTTTATAAACTTACCGTTTGCAGCAGTTAGGATAAGGAAAAGAGAGCGTAACTGAGCTAAAATCATCCTTGCTTCCACTGCTTCAAATTAATTCAAGTTCACGCAACTGAAAAAGTCACGCTATCTTACGCGAGTAACACAATTTAAGGGCTGAACAGATGGGGAGTTACTACATCACGGGCGACGAGCGGGACAAGAAAAATGGTCCTTTAACTCCCAGAAAAGTTTAACATGCAACTTCTCCTTGTATCAACCATGCATTATCTACGGTGGCCCAGACGGCTCAACGCAAACAAAAAATATACTGCAACAAATAAAAAATATACTGCAGCAAATAAAAAATATACTGCAGCAAATAAAAAATATACTGCAGCAAATAAAAAAATCAAAACGCAAAGAAAAAAAGTACCGCAGCAAATAAAAAATGCAACGCAAACAAAAAATACTGCTGCAAATAAAATATGCCACGCAAACAAAAGAAAAAGAAAACGCAACCAAAAAAAATTGGAACGCAACGCCAAGGAAGACTGGGTAATACTTCTTAGTTTCCCGCCAACACTCGTTCCATCCTTTGCTTGTTCACCTTTCCGAAACCATGTTTTGCAGCGAACTTATGACAGTACCATGCTGCTCCTTTAAAAAATCGATAATAACATACCCTTGATGAAAGTAATCTTCTATAATCCTACGCAGATCGCTTTCGTCCATAGCCAAAAGCGAGTTCCAGTTCATGCTGTTTTGGCGGGAAACTAAGAACTATTACCCAGTCTTCCTTGGCGTTGCGTTCCAATTTTTTTGTTTGCGTTTTCTTTTTTTTTGTTGTTTGCGTTGCATATTTTATTTGCTGCAGTATTTTTTGTTTGCGTTGCATTTTTTTATTTGCTGCGGTACTTTTTTTCTTTGCGTTCTGATTTTTTTATTTGCTGCAGTATATTTTTATTTGCTGCAGTATAATTTTTATTTGCTGCAGTATATTTTTTGTTTGCGTTGAGCCTTCTGGACCACCGTAATTTATCCATGCATTATCCAGCAAATAGGTAAGAAGGTTGCACTCAACTCAGTTATCTGGTAGTTGTTAATTTGATCTATCGTCAAATTCTCATAACTTATTTACGAGGAAATGTATATCCAGAGGAGAAAAGTAACAATCAGATCCTTCGAGATAACAACCTCGTTCCTAGGGTCTCTCTTTCTCTTGCACCAAAAGAAGAGGAAAAGAAAGACCCCTGGAATGAGGTTGGGAAGTTTAAAGGTTAAAGAGGAGGGCTGGAGGTGCACTTAAAATACATTCACCTTCAAATACCTGTAAAGACATATTCAAAGCGTGACCGAAGTAAGATCCTTTGGGCCTTGGCGAACCCAAAGGGATTGGGGCCAATGTTACGATAATTTTTTTCAAAAATTGTCTTTCCGCTCCGAGGTGGCATCGGTGCTCTGCGCTCGTTCAATTCATAATCCGTAGCTTCAGCTTCGAACGGACAATCCAGTTGCTTTCGTTACCCATAACCTAACATAGTTTGGTGGTGAACATGGTATCCAAAGTCCAAAGGTTGTTGGAATTCATGTGTTAATGTATAATAATGATCCCAATTGTTGGACATTTCTCACGTCGATAAAAATAATAATAAAAAAAAAAAAAACGGCCAAAAATAACTTGATCGCGAAACAATTCTTGTATTCTGTTACAATCATAACAGGTATATAAGTGAAAGCTGCTTTGAGCGGAGCTTTAAGCAATTAATTTATCCATTGCTTAGATCAAAACAAAAATATTGTTCATACAAATTGTATTCCATTGTAACTAACATAGCAGTCCATAACTGCTCTAAAAGAAACCTTCCCGCTAATACAAAATAACGTAAAATTTTGTCCTTCGTGCGACACAAGGCTAGGAGTAAGTGTTCTTTTGAAGAATAATCTCTTGACTTATAATGAGGAAGGATTTATCGAACGTTAATACAAATAAAGCCACTTTATACTGAAAAGTAATTACGCCAGTGTCTGGTTTGTATAGACAGTTGATATTGAAATACGGTCTAATAATCCACATTAGGAAAGGCCCTATAAATTTAAAAATGTGACTTTATTTCTACAACTGGGACACCCTCTCTCTCTTATGATCCGTGAACTGTTAACCGACATTGGAGGTTTAAGGTACCACCCGCAAAATGGATTAATTAAGAAATGACGGCTTTTCTTTTAAGTGTGGACATAACACACATAGAAACGGAGCATTTCTGAAATGCTGATGTCGCCGTTTTCTTTGCATTATTTCTTTTTTTTTTCTTTTTTTCCTAGTTTTCTAGTATGGACTAAGGCAAAAAAGAAGAAGATAACTGGTTACTACAATAAAAAGAATATCAATTTAACAATCATAACAAAAGAACATTTAAAACCTTTTTTCTTTGTTTCGGACGTAATAATTTCTAAAACTTAATGGTTAAGTAAATTTAATGCCCAAACAAATAGCTATGTACTAACTGAAGTACTGTACTACTACTTAACACAATAACTCAGTTGGACTGAAAACATTTATTTTTACAACCAATACATTGTCCAGGCTTTTAGTTCATCATTTCAGATGAAAATTTCTTGCACTGGTACGTATAAGAAACATTTCGTAAAATGAATATTAACATCTAGAATTGTTGAATGATTAAGGAAAAAATAAGCACAAATCTTGCCTTAATTTTTTTCCCGTTCATGCCTTGAAAGATTAATAGGTGTGATCCCTTACTTCAGAGAAAAAATTTAATTAACAGTAATTAATATATTGATATTCTTTCATAAATGTTCATTACTAGCCGTGAAATATATATCATCATAGTAAAAATTAATATCTTCCACACAGTCACATAAATGAACTTCTTAATCTAACAGTTCAGAGTCTTCCATTCTATTGTATATTTGAATTTTCTCAGCTCATAAAAAAAGTTGGTCATGAGTAAAAAGATCAAGGCCAAGTTGACCTCAAACTTGTGGATCACCATTAGCTTGTTGGCCTATGTCCTGGTTTTTTCCAATGTCTTCAGTCCTTCTAGAAGTAGTTTTGTATTTGTAAGAAGAGGCAACATACAGGAACACCAGGAAATTTAGTATCATCAGCCCAGCCAACAAGAAGAAGAAGTACTCTAGGTGTCCATGGTTGGGATCATTCACTGGATACCAATCACCTTTGCTAGCTTTCTGGACAATGACAACAAGAAGGTTTGCAACATAATTGCCAAGACCACTTGTGACGAGAAAGGCCCCCATCACCACTCCCTGAAGACACCTGGGAGCTTGTGAATATGCAAACTCAAGTCCTGTACAGAAAAATTAACAAGTAATAATTAAAACACAAATCGAATGAGAAGCTGCTAGAACTATCTTGCTTTCAGTTTCATCATATCAGAGAGGAGCTTTTTTCAAAGGGAGGGAGGTCCTTCTCAGAGGCTAAAAGTTAAAAAGCTGAACTCTGAATCAGGAGATCCCTCCCACATTAATAATGGTCCTAATCTTGAATTGCTTATAACCCTTTAACTCCAGAAGTGATTAACATGCATCTTCTCCCTATAATATCCATACATCGTCCAGCAAACAGGTAATGAGAATACTCAAACTTATCAGGTACATGTAGAAATTGTTATGTTGATTTAATATTAATACCAAATTCTTATGACTCATTTACAAGGAAATGTGTAACAACTAAAAGGGAGAATTGAGATTCAGGTCTTAAAAGTAGAGAGTTTAAGCCCACTAGGGAAAACAGGGATTTACTCAGATTGTGTTAGTCTCCCAGCTTGAATCTACTTTTAAAAGAAGCCTTTCAATGTATTGGGTGAAAAGCTCGAAAATTGGGGAACATCATAGGATACCAGGGAGGTTTAATCCTTTAATCTCTAACGTCAGTATGCATATTCTTCATATTACTGTTCTCTATACATTTCCTGGGGTCCAGACAAGGAAAATTTAGTTAGGAATTGCATCATTGAATAAAATCTTGCATTCTGATTGGTTAACAAAGCGAGGTAATTAGCATGGAATTGCAAGTTGAAAATAGGGCTATCAAGAGATAGTGTTTCACATCTACATATACATAACAACAATAAGTAAATAAATGCTGTTTTCTTCTTTTATTCAATTATGCAATTCAAGGAAAAACCATTACTTGACTTGTAAATTCCACATTAAATGAATTACTCTTGAAAACCGCCATTGCACTCGTCGCTTCATGATTCGTGCAACATCGGCTTTCGCGTGCAATTTAATACAGAATTCCCTCCTTGAGTAATGAATTTTCCTACACCATCAAGAGCTTTTATAGTTGGTGATCATTCCCTTTATTCTTTTGGCCCTAATGCATGATTCAAGGTATGTGCTGTATGGAGAAATTGGATCCCTGCAATCAAGCAAAGGAGTCAAAGTGTCAACAGAGACACGTGAATATTTGCTCAAAGTGATTCTTACAAATTGCTAGCAATATTCTCTAAATTGATATAAAGGAAGATGTCTTACAGGTGGGAGAGAGAAATATTATTGATCTCATCACATCGTATGAATTGAAGGGTGTATTGCATGCAACCTTGGTTAAAAGAAATTATTTTCAAACTTTTGAAAGACTGCTCGCTTCCCTGAGTAGTTTCCACATACCTGCGATACTTGTAAAAACTTCACTAGCACCAATCAATGTAAACTGTGGGACTTGCCAAAATATATTTAAACATGAAGCAGTGCGTTTTTCACCAAAAACTGTTTGCAGACAAGTGCCACGATCCTGCCATTCATCCCTTCGTTTTATTTCAATCACTCCTGCTACTGCCACAGATGCTGCTGCCAGCAACATACCTACACCAATACGTCGCAGGGGAGTGAGGTTAAAACCAAGGTAACGCACAAAAGGATACAAAACATTATCCACTAGAGGAATAAGCACAAGAACTGCAACAGTATCAAAAATGGACAAGGAAGCTGCTGGTACTTCAAAGCTGTCAGAGACTTTTAGTTTCATGAAGGTAGCTTGGACCAGGAAAGTTGTCTGCATCTGAAACAGGCAACAAAATATATCTGTAAATTCCTGAGATGGGGGTAGGGGCGGGGGAGGGGCAGGACAGAAAAGCAGGTACTGACTAAGGACACCTTTACAGGGTTTTGTGTGTGCAACTGGGCATGCAATAGGCCCTTCCAACATCTAACCCCCAAGGAAATGAAAGAAAATTAACAAGAGAGTAACCCGTACCTGGAAATAAATTGTCCAGTAAAGAATAAACAGAAAGAACACTGCAATAACTCTCAGGAGAGACTTGACATCCTCAACCTGGGCATTAGTAAACTTTCCTCCAAAAGTGCTCTTTGCTCCATCCAGCCAACCACCAGTGTTCTGTTTACGATGACGCCTGGCGTCACATAAGATTTTTGTAATTTCAGTAATTTGGCTGCCACCTGGCGGCTTGGTTAAGTACTTGTTGCGACCCGTAAGAAATACAATTACAGCAAGGAACATAGTCCCAGCAGTGATAGCATAGCCAGCAAAAACATTTCTCTGCTGAACCCCCACAACTACAGTAAAAGCTATCAGTGAACCAACATTGATAAACCAGTAAAACCAGTTAAAGAAAGCCTGGACAGCTCTAGGACCATCTTGTTGAACTTGATCTGCCCCAAAAGGTGACACATTGGCTTTGATTCCTCCTGTGCCAAATGCTATCATTAAAAGAGCCAACACAAAATACAGTAATCTTGCTGTACTATCATGAACTGCATTTTCATTGGCAAATAGTGTTTGGAGCATTTCATTATTCATGGAAACAACAGCCAGTAGTAAAGTTCCCACAACATACAATAAAGAACTTCCATAAATAGCATTGAATCTACCCATGTAAGTGTCAGCCAGCCATCCTCCTAACAAAGGTACAAGGTAACATGTCCCTAGAGAGAGGTAACACATCAAGGCCAAAATTATATTCATGTTCTAAAGAAGAGGAATTTTCTCTTCACTAACAGAGAAAAAATGTTGCTTCTATTAATGGTTTAAAGAAAACTGTTTTTGTATCTGAATCAATTAAACTACCAGCAAGTTTGGTTGAGTTACATATAAATCTTGAAACAACATGACACAAAAAAACTCTCAGGAGATACCTCAAAGATACGTATAATTATTGCCTGGATATATCAATGCAGGAGGACTGAAAACTGTTACCAGAAATAATTGCAAAGAAATCATACAAAGATTAATTGCAAACTATACTAGTTTAATAATAACACCACACACAATACAGAATGATATAACATTCCCTCACTTGTCAATGTATGGTTTTAATTGTTAAGATCCTAAATTATATTTTAATCATATGTCCAGATAAAGATGTATATTAAAAGAGTTCTAACTAACCTTGAAACAAATAGCTAATGGTGGATGGCCATGGCGATTCAAGATGCAATTCATTGCTAGAAAATAACAGCAAGTTAGCTGTCAATCCATAAAAGGTCAAACGTTCACATAACTCTGTGACAAGAATGCAGCTGGTGACGAGGAACTTTTGGCTTCGCCCCAGTCGGCGATTACTAACCAGTGAGCTAGCCCTGCACTCTGTGGGAGCCGAAGGGCTTCTATCTGGGATTAATGGAGAATTTACATCTTCAGCACTTGTTTCCAGTGACATATTGAAGGATCAGACCAGCAATGACAACATTTCTGCAATATAAAAAGCAGCCTTTAAGTCTCCAGATCATGTGTATAATCATAAATCATCTGTGGAAATTTGAAGTCATTGCATCAAATCTGTCACGAGATATTTTATTCTCAAAATTGGCAAAAATTCACCAAATTAGCCTCCACTACCACCCTTAGAGTGACCAGCAGGTAATTTTTCCGTGCAATAATACTGCTGAATCATTCATTAAGTTAAAATAAATTAAATTAAATAAATTCATTAATTGAAGCTTCCCCATAGGGGCTTTTCTGCCACAATGTAGACTAAGCGCTTAACAATCCCCACTGGCAGGAGGTAGACCAGTGGGCATATATACAGAGCACAGCTGAGGAGTTGAACTAGAGGACAACCGAGAACAAATCCAGTGAGTGGCAGGATGGAGGAATTGAACCTGGGACACTGGATTACAAGTCCAGCACCCTAACCACCTGGCCACACC